GATGGGTTATAGCAAATAAGATTTGCCAATTTAAAATGTTTTTGGACCTTTCACATGGATGTTCTTGCTATCATATTTTGTTTCTTTACTCGATCCATTACTACTCCCTTATCACTCTGCTGCACTAACTGTTTTGTCATTTAATATCTTCCATCTTCCTCCCTATTGCAGATGTTCCCTTTTTGTTGTTCTTCTATCTTCCCTCATCTGACCTCCTTAAAATCTGCTTCACTTGTAACTTTACCCCATTCTGATGAAAGATGGTCAACCTGAAATGTTAAACTTGTTTAGTACATCCACCAATTTTTGTTAACATTTTAGATTACCAAATTTTGTGTTCGATTGCCAACATCTGCAGTATTTTGCTTTATCAGTCATTCTACTGTTGGTAATGGTTGGACATTTGGAAATAAAATTCCAGCTACGCAGTTCCTTAGAAAAACTGACTACACTTCCTCCTTTTCATAACTAAGTTTGTTTTTTTTTTATTTTTCCTTGTCAGCCATGCTTCAGTAGGTAGGTGTACAGTCTCCTCTGAGTTCAAAGTCTCATTTCAAGATTTGAATGCAAAAATCAAAACTGACACACTATTGCAGCACTGAAGAAGTACTGCGCTGTCTGAATGCAGAAATTCAAATGTAGCGTTAAACTGAAGCCCAGTGCTTTCTCGACTGGGTAGAACAGTGTTTAGGATCTTGTTGGATGATGTTAGGGGGAGGGGCGTGATATGCTTGGTGATTATCCTGGGGTTATCCTTCCGGTACCCTCTTGCTCAAAACCCTTACCTAATCCTGTACATCCTGGAGCTACCTTGTATGTCTAATCTTCTCAACCTCACCTGAGGCATGGTGACCCTCTTGTTAAAATTCATTACCAGTCATTTATAATGAGAGAGCAGCCCCATAGTTCTGAGATTATAGCAACTTTACCTATCCTGGGTGAACTGGTTAATATTTAACCCTCAGTCCCATTATAAAACAGCTTAACTGATCAGTATCACATTGCTGTTTGTGGAAATTACTGAGAGCAACTTGGCTGTCACATTTCTGACACTACAAAAATAACTATGCTTCAAAAGTAAATAATTGACTCAAGTGATTTGAGATGTCCGCTTTTTTTGTGAAAAGCGTTCTATAAATACAAGTAAGATTGGACTTCTGAGCACAGTTATAGCTCTTGATATAAAAGAAACAGTAGCAACGTGGGTACAAATTGGCTGAGTGATAGGAAACCAAGATGTCAATGTAGTTTGTCACCTGGAGGAAAGTTTATAATGGAGTTTCTTAGCGGTTAGTATTGGGGTCCTTTCTTTTCCTGATAAACTGTAATGTTTCTAAGGTTTTAGAATAGATTTGTAGCTGGGGTTATGGATATTGTAGTTGGTTGGCTCGCCAAGCTGGTTCATTGTTTCGCAGACGTTTTGTTACCATGCTGGATAACATCATCAGTGCAGCCTCCGATGAAGTGCCGTTGTTTTCCCGCCAGTTATTTAAACTCTGGAGTCCGTTGAGCTGGATTACCTCGCTTCTGATTTTCTTTCGCAGTGGAGTGTATATGGGGTCGAGCTCTGTGTTTGTTGATGGCTTTCTTCGTGGAGTACCACGCTTCTAGGAGTTCCCGTGCTTGTCTCTACTTTGCTTGTCCCAGGATCTTGGTGTTGTCCTAGTCGAATTGGTGGCTCTCCTTATTCGTGTGGATAGAGATGAGTGAGTATTGGTCATGTCTTTTTGTAGCCAATTAATGTTCATGTACCCTTGTTAATTTCCTTCCTGTTTGTCCGATGTAGTGTTTGTCACAGTCTCTGCAGGGAATCTTATATATGACATTGGTCCTGTCCATAGTGGGTTGCGGGTCATGGGTCTTTGGTTCAGGTGAGCAGTTGTCGTATGGTTGATGTGGCTTTGTGTACTACTCTGATGCCCAGTGGTCGTAGGAGTCTTGTGGTCAAGTTCAGATGTGTTCCTGATGTAAGGCAGCATGATGAGTGTTTCAGGGCGTATAGCATCTTCCTGGTGTTGTTCATGTAATAAGCATCTTCTGACCCAATTTTTTGGGTATCCATTGTCTCTGAATACCTGGAAGAGGTACTCCTCTTCTTTTTGGCGTAGCTCTGTGCTGCTGCAGTGTATTGTTGCCCATTTAAATAATGTTCTTACATTTGTGTGTGTGTTAGGGTGGTTACTGTTGAAATTCAGTACTTGGTCAGTGTGTGTGGCTTTCCTGTGTACCTTTGTTAGGAATTCTCCGTTTGTCCTGCGCTGTACCAATGTCGTCCAGGAATGGGAGCTATTTGTTCTTCTCCTCTTCTCTAGTGAATCTGATTCTGGTGAGTGTGTTGTTTATTAGTTCATGTGTCTCATCATGCCTTTGGTTGGATTAGTGGAAGGGCCATACTTTCCAGTCTCTGCATCACCACTTTGGCTATTCATTTGGAGATGGATGATCCCATTGGGTGTCCTGTCGATCTGTTCAAATATTTGGCCGTCAAAGGTGAAGTGGCTGGTGAGGCATGGTGCCATTGGGGTCATGTTCTTGTTTTAGTAGTGCAAGAACTTTCGCTAATCCAGCCAAAACTATGGATACGCTACATGGACACCTTCGTCATTATTAAACGGACCAAACTGGAGGAGACATACGAACTAATAAACAAAAAGAAGAGGAGTACCTCTTCCAGGTACTCAGAGGCAATGGATAGCCGAAAAATTGGGTCAGAAGATGCCTATTACACAAACAACACCAGGAAGATACTACACGCCCTGACACACTCATCACACTGCCTTACACCAGGAACACATCTGAACTTGACCATAAGACTCCTACGACCACTGGGCATCAGAGTAGCACACAAAGCCACATCAACCCTATGACAACTGCTCACCCGAACCAAAGACCCACGACCCACTGCCCACTATGGACAGGACCAATGTCATATACAAGATTCCCTGCAGAGACTGTGACAAACACTACATCAGACAAACAGGAAGGAAATTAACAACAAGGGTACACGAACATCAATTGATTACAAAAAGACATGACCAATACTCACTCCTCTCTATCCACATGGATAAGGAGAACCACCAATTCGACTTGGGACAACACCAAGATCCTGGGACAAGCAAAGGAGCGACAAGCATGGGAATTCCGAGAAGCGTGGTACTCCACGAAGAAAGCCATCAACGAACACCTAGAGCTCGACCCCATATACACTCCACTGAGAAGGAAAATGGAAGTGAGGTAATCCAGCTCAATGGTCTCCAGAGTTTAAATAACAGGCAGGAAAACACAACGGTGCTTCATTGGAGGCTGCACTGATGATGTTATCCAGCATGGTAACAAAACGTCTGCGAAACAATGAACCAGCTTGGCGAGCCAACCAACTACAGCAAACTGTAATGTTCTTTACATGTTGTATTCTCTGCTGTACATGGCACAATTTCAAAGTATGCAAATGCCTTAAACCTTTGTAAATACAGGTGGATAATCTATAAATTGAAAAGGCCTTAGACAAACTGGCAGAATAGGTGGACAGATGGCAAATGACATTCAATGTGGAGAAGTGTGAAGTGATTAAGTTTGCTGGAAGAACAGGGAGAGACACTACAAAATAAAGGGTGTAATTCCAAAGAGGATGCAGGAGCAGGGGGCATGGAGTATATGTGCGCAAACCAATTTAAGGGAACAGGCAGGTTGAGGGAGAGATTAATATAGCATACATACCCTAAACCTTATTAATGTGGCCATCAGTACAAGAGCAAAGAGATTGTGTTGAACTATGTAGGACACTGCTTAGGCATCAATTTGAATACTGTATTCGGTTCTGATCACTACACTTTACACTTTAGGAAGGATGTGAAGGCATTGCAGACAATGTCGCAAATATTTACGAGAATAGTTCCAGTAATGTGGAAATTCGGTTATGAGGATAGATAGAAGTTTCATTGAAGAGAAGGCTGAGAGGAGATCTAGTGAAAGTGCTCAAAATCATGAGTCATACAACACCAGGTTATAGTCCAACAGGTTTATTTGAAATCACAAGCTTTTGAAGCACTGCCCCTTCATTGGGTAATATTAAAGTATTTGGCAAAACTAGTATGTGAGAAAAAACACTTTGATACAGCAAGCTCTGGAAGGCATTACTTTAGTATATTGATTCAATTGAGGCATTCAAAAGGAAATTAGACTTTTATTTGAAAAGGAAGAATGCGAAGGGTTATGGGGAGAAGGTGGGAGAATCACACTAAGCAAAATACTTATTTGGTTATCTAGCGCAGACACAATGGGCCAAATGCTCTCTCCTGTGCAGTAACTTAAGTGCATCAAGGGATGTGCAATAAATGCTGACCTAGCCAGTGACACCCACATCTTATGAAGGAATAAAAATAATGATTGAATTTAAATTATTTAATGTTAATTTATAATTATTTATAACTAATAACTTATTTAGTTTGTTTTAAATTCTCTGATTCAATAATTGTGATTTTTGTTTTTCAGTTTCTCTTTTTTTCTTTATGGGTAAGAAGGCACCACGGTAGCACAGTGGTTAGCACTACTGCTGCAGGGACACCAGTTCGATTCCAGCCTCGGGTGGCTGTCTGTGTGGAGTTTGCAAGTAATCCCCGTGTCTGCGTGGGTTTCTGCTGAGTGCTCCAGTTTCCTCCCACAAGTCCAAAGATGTGCAGGATAGGTAGACTGGCAATGCTAAGTTGTCCCATTGTGTCCAGAGATATGCAGGCTAGGTCAGTTAGCCATGGTAAATCCGAGGTTATGGGATGCATCTGGGTGGGATGCTGTTCAGAGGGTCGGTGCAGACTCGATGGGCCAAATGGCCTCCTTCTGCACTGTAGGGATTCTTTGATCCTAAGAACCAGCTGCAGATTGTGGGGAAAATTAACTTTGAAAATAAACTCTGAAATAAGTGTTTAAATGCAATATCTGCTGAGCCTTGATATCCTTCTTTCTTGAGTTTATCCTCTGTTTACTTGATTGCTTATTTGTTGCAGGTGGCATCCTTAGCTGGAGCAGGAGGACAAGTAGAAATTGAACAGAATTTTCTCAACAACAAACTGAAGACAATCACTGCTTATTTTGGTGACTTAATCCAGAATGAGTAGGGCAATTTAAAGATCAGCATTTGTATAATTTGTTTGTTCCAAATAAAGCTTTAACTGGTATGTACTGTTCTTTTCAGTGATAGAAAGACCAACTTGCATTTACACAGAAACATCCCACATTGCCTTTCAGATTATCAAACAAATATTTTGACACAAACATATATGGAAATAATAGGACATGTGACCAAAATCTTGGTAAGCCTCTAAAGGTGTGGAAGAGGCATAGAAAATTTCAGTTCTAGGAACTGGTGTAGTGAGGAAAATTGGGATTGTGCATGTGACACAAAGGTCTGTGGATTACGCTCATGCTTTTAAAAAAAAACAATTATAATGTCTGATATTCATGTCATCTTTCTGTTCAAAGTCATCTGACACCAGTATCAACAAAAGCAGGATGAGCAGATGGCCTCATTATGAGTTATTAGCTGAGCACCAAGAATCTTTAATGCACTTTGTTCTCAACCGGTACTTATAGGCCTTTGGCAGAAAGCAGGATAAATGGCAAAGCATTGGAAACGACTTTTCCATCATTCTATGGTCTCTTTTGTCTGAAGAGCAGTCACTTGTCTCAAACTACATCCGTTGGCTACTGAAAGCTGTGCTTATTAATTCTTTTGTGCAAATGGTTTTTGGCACAAATCAGTCAGTAATGATACTGCACTCTGGTCTAAGTGAAGCATGGCTAGTTTCTGGTTGATTTAAGTGGTGTATGATCAGTTTCTGATTGGTCTCTTTTAAAGAATGATGGTCATCTACTGATGTCACTTGCTCACTGGTTGTCTTGTGGTAGCATTCTTACCTCTGGACTCAGAAGCCTGGCTTCAAGTCCCATCTGTTCCAGAGGTATGTAGTAACAGCTGTGAATAGTTTGATTAGTAAATATCTCTCTCTTAACTGGTTCCTTCAAATTTCAGTTACTTACAAAACCATCTCCCTCTCCTTGTAGCTTTTTCCTCATTTTGCTAGATTTTATGACATACTGCTGAGATAATGGGTTGCCTTACGATAGTTAGTGTCTACTTCATAGAATCATAGAATCCCTACAGTGTGGAAGCAGGCTATTCAGTCCATCGAGTCCACAATGACCCTCTGAGGAGCATCCCACCCCACCTTATCCCTGTAACCCTTCATTTCCCATGGCTAGTCCAACTAACCTACAAATCCCTGAACCCTATGGGCAATTTAGCATGGCCAATCCACCTAATCTGCACATCTTTGGACTGTGTGAGGAAACCCATGCAGATGCGGGGAGAACATACAAACTCCACACACAGTTGCCGAGGATGAACTCAAACCCAGGTCCCTGATGCTGTGAGGCAGCAGTGGTAACCACTGAGCCACCATGCTGTCCCCTTGTTTGCAGTAAGCTGTGTGATGTCAGTAATTCATAATGAAAGATCTCTGGGCTCATCATCCAAACTGAGGTATCAACATGTGTCTCCTGTAGAACTCCCATTAAGGTAGGCACTCACCAGTATGTTCTGGTTGGAAACAAAATTTGTTCACGTGTGTGTTTTAATAGTGATTGATGGTACTTGGAATGGAATTGCAAACAACCTTAAAACTAATACAGAAATTACAAAGTAAGCAACACAAAATTTAGTGTACAGAGTCAATTCATACAAATGATCGGAATGTTAGAGCTGAGGAATTGAAATTAAACTGTCAAGTATAGCATGATAGTAATAAAAGTCAAAGAGAACTGCATTATTTCAAAAACTGGTCACAAAACTATCATGGAACCTAATTAATTAGGATTACGACATTCAGCCTGTCAGGTCTATTTTGCCATTTAATATGATCATAACTGATCAAATACTTCTAAATGCCACACTATCCTCATAACCTTTTGTGCCATTGGTAATCAAAAATCTATCGAAGTCTGAGCTTGTACAAGCTTTCCAGGGTAGAATAGCCCAGGAGCAATCTAACAAAGCTTAAAAATTAAAGCAAGACTTTGCTACTCCTATAATGAAACGCTCTTGTGATAAAGGTAAACATTCCTTTAGCCTCCCTAATAGCTTCCTGCACCTGCATGTTAGCCTTCTGTGATTTATTGATAAAGACACCAAGGTCGCTCTGTACATCCACCATTTCCAACTGCTTACCATTTAAGACATCTAGCAGTCTGGACTAGTAAGGATGCAGAAGTTGTGCTGCAGCTGTGCAAAACCCTAGTTAGACCCGACTTGTAATGTGATCAGATCTGGACAACACACATTAGGAGGGATATATTGGCCTTGGAAGGAGTACAATGTAGGTTTCCAGGAATGATACCTGGACTTCAGGGGTTAAGTTTTATGAGGAGAGATTATGCAAATTAGGCACGTTTCTCTTGAATTTAGAAGGCTTGATAATAACAGGATAGATAAAGTATTTCCACTGGATAGAGATTCTAAAACTTAAACTTAGTCTAAAAATTAGGGCTGGACTGTTCAGGAGAGATTTTAGGAAGACAAATAAAAAAAACTTCTCTAGAACAGATTTTTAAGATTATGCCAGCATTTGGAAGGAGATTGCAAGGAAGATTGATTGGGATGTGCAAACTTACTGTTCTCATCAAGGCATGCATTATATACAGCAGATTTTAAGAACATGCCAGCATTTTGGAGAGGTTTTTAGAAATGTTGGTTTTCTTTTTGTGCAAACTTGCTTATCTTGTCGAGTTAAGTAATATAGAAAATTGATTTTAAGCATATTTTGGAGTTTTTTTGCTGAATTGAATAATTTTGTGATGCAATGTTGCTTATCTGACTGAGTTATGTATTTTACTAAAATAAGATTTTAAAATTATGTACAGGCTGGAGGCCTATGATCAGCATTGTGCTGCAAGGATCAGTGCTATATCCACTGTTGTTTGTCATTTATATAAATGATTTGGATGAGAATATAGGAGCCATGGTTAGTAAGTCTGCGGATGACACGAAAATTGGTGTTACAGTGGACAGGGAAGGAGGTTATCTAAGAGTACAACTGGGCCAATGGGCTAAGGAATAGCGGATGAAGTTTAATTTCAATAAATGTGAGGTGTTGCATTTTGGTAAGACAAACCAGAGCAGAGCTTGCACAGTCGATGGTAGTGCCCTGAGGAATGTTGTTGAACAGGGACCCAGGGGTACAAGTATATAGTTCCTTGAAAGGGGTGTTACAGTTAGACAAGGTGGTGAAGGAGGCGTTTGACATTCTTGCCTTCATTGCTGAGTGCATCTTGTACAGGAGTTGGGACATCATGTTACAATTATAAAAGGCATTGGTAAAGCCACACATTCTTGTTGTCCTGCAAAAGAAACGATTTGCAAGGATATAAATGAGACCGGAGGTTTTGAGTTATAAGGATAGATGGGATGTTTTTCCCTGGAGCGTAGGAGATTTGAGAAGTGACCTTCAGTGAGGTTTATAGAATCATGAGGGGCAAGGGTAGGGGAGTCTAAAACTCGAGGGCATATGTTTAAGGTGAGAGTGGAAAGATTTAAAAGGGATCTGAGGGGTGACTTTTTCACAAAGGGTGAATTGAATTGAATTAGCTTTATTGAATTAGTGCTGCAAGTTATGGAACAAGCTGCCAGAGGAAATGGTAGAGGCAAGTACAATTACAACATTTAAAACACATTTGAACAGGTACATAGATAGAAAGGCTTTAGAGAGATATGGGTCAAATGCAGGAAAATGGGACTAGTTCAGTTTAGGAAACCTGTCAGCATGGATAAGTTAGGCCAAAGGGTGTGTTTCTGCGCTGTATGACTATGATTACTCTACAAGAGTGATAACTGACTCTAAAAGTCATCAGCTTATACTGAAACTTTAAAAATGTACTTTATCCTGTCTTGAGTAAGGGCACAGCAACAAGCAGTCAGTCAGTAATACTAGTGTCCTACATTGATTACAATTAAACAGAAGTTTAATATTAAGCTCATTGATTAATAAATTTTGATCGTACTAAAACTGCTCATAAACATGAAACTCCCTACAGCATGAAAACTTGAAATGTGCACTATATTCTTGACAATTTCTAACCAGGATCTCTACAACTTTAATTGTAGGAATATTACTGAGGCAGTACAGAGGTTACTTATTCAGAAAAATGTTAGCTGGTGTTAAGAATTGCAAATAATCAAAAAGTGTGAAATTTGGATCCGCTGTCATCATGAGCTGGGAGATTACCAGGTGATCTAAAAGATCTAATGCTTAAAATTTTAAAAGGTTGGAACACTGCTGCCAATAGATAGGGTGGCATGGTGACTCAGTGGTTAGCACTGCTGCCTCACAGTGCTGAGGACCTAGGTTCCTTTCTACCCTTAGGCAACTGTCTGTGTGGAGTTTGCACGTTCTCTGTGTCTGTGTGGGTTTGCTCTGGTTTCCTCCCACATCCAAAGATGTGTAGGTTAGACAGATCGGCCATATTCAATTGTCCATAGTGTCAGGCTAGGTGGGTTAGCCATGGGAAGTGCAGGATTACAGGTTTGGGTAAGGGGGATATGTGGGTGGAATGCTCTTCATGGGGTCAGTGCAGACTTGATGGGCCTAATGGCCAGCTTCCATACTGTAAGGATTCTGTGAACAAAGTTGTATTTGATTCTTTCAAGAAACTGTTGATGCTGGAAACCTGAAGTAAAATCAGCATGGCAGAAACTCAACAAGTCTCTCTTGTTTTCCTCTCAAAAACATTAATATTTTGAGTCCAATACGACTATTGGACAAAACTGAAAAGAGAACATAACTGACATTATTTTCTACAGCATAAAATCTTGAGAAGGAACAAGTTGAGTAGAAAGCAAGGTCGAGGAAGGTTAGTGAGTGAGATTAGAGATCACAGGAGTCACAGAAGGCAAAGGAAATGGTTACAGTTATAGAGCAGATAGAAGTCCACGGCAAGTATTAGTAGATGTTAATGATGGAATAGGTTGTAAACAGGTCAGCTCAGCTAAAAGCAAAACCAAGAAAACTGGACATGGGGTAGGAAACCAAATAGATAAAGTCATAGAGATGTACAGTATGGAAACAGACATTTCAGTCCAATTCGTCCATGCCAATATCCTAAATAAATCTAATCTCATTTGACT